AAAACAAAGTAATTTTGAGAGGAAAGCCAAAACAAGTTTAGATTTTGAACAATTCTCATCGCAAGTACGCGACATTAAAAAAATCGCCGCTTAATATGGTTCCATTTGGACAACCAAGATTAGAACTCCAACATGTAAAACACGAAATGAGCACGCACCTTTGGTGAACACGGTGAAATTGGTCCATTGATGTTCAATAATGCCAGATTGAAGGCCAGGCCCCTCAGCGTAACATTTGCTCGAGTCCAGATCTGAGGACACCTTGACGCGGAAGGGACTTTTAGGGATATGACGACCTTTCCATTTGATATGAATATCGTAGATACCTGAGAAAAGATAGTATAAAATTAGCATAATTAGCGCTGATTGTTAACTGCGCAAAAATTCTAGGTCGCTCTCCAAAATATCAGTTAATAATTGTATGGGCAGTACAACACACAAAACATATATAATGCAAAATGTAAAAATATTATTGTTATTGACAATGATTTACCTTGTTCTGGTGGTGAGTACAAGCACGAGAATGTCTTGTCTCCATTATCAACAACTTCACATGTGATGTTACTTCGTTCAGGTCCAAACACGTTAACTTGGGGAGTTCCTTTGCCTGCGCCCGCGGTGAACACGGTGAAGGGGGCAGGTTGCTTAGCAACAAGGCCTTCAGGGGTGACGCCTGGCCCCTCGGCTGAGCACTTGGCCGCTGCGGGGAGCTGTGGTCGGTGAGGGGCACCAGCTTTGCACTTGGCCTCGGGGAAATACGAAACATAAGTCATGACGCTCATTTCGTCCACCTTAGGATTGCACATATCTGCAGCATCGAGGACCTAGGGAGATTAAAAATAAACATTGTTAGTCCTGCCGTATGATAGGACAATCTATACACACGCAAAAACGCACAAGTTGTTACAGGTATGTTCACAAGCTGTCGATAAGTTGTGTTCGCACTGCTTGTTCCCAGTTGTTGCAACAAGTTTGACAACTTGTAACAATTTTGATGGCATGATTTTGTCTTAAGGTTGTTCTAACAAGTCTGATACAATCATGATATAACAAGAATGTTACAAGGTTTGATGACACAAGGTTGTAATCTCACATCTTGTAGCTAGTCTGCCAACAAGCCATCAACAAGTTGTGGTCGCACTGCTTGTCCCAAGTTGTCAACAAGTTTGGAACAACTTGTTAACAGTCGTAACAACCTTGTTGATATTATATCAGACTTGTAGCAAGGTTGTTCTAACAGGTCCGATACAGTCATGATATAACAATATTGTTACAACCTTGTGTCGTCAAACTTGTAACATTCGTGTTATGTCATGACTGTATCAGACTTGTTAGAACAACCTTGTAACAAGTCTAATAATGCCACCAAGCTTGTTACAAGTTGTTATCAACTTGTTCCAAACTTTGTTACAATAACTGGGAACAAGCGGTACGAACAAAGTTACAGACGTAAAAACGCACAAGTTGTAACAAACCTGCAGCAGACTTGAAGCAATGCTGTTCCAACAACTTGTCAACAGGATGTGTGTTCGCACTGCTTGTTCCCAGCTTGTTGACAAGTTGTCAGCGGCTTGTTGGCAACATGCTACAAGGTTATTGAGCTCAACAGACTTGTTACAAGTTGTTCCACCAACTTGTTATCGTCCTGCTGCTCACCAATTTTTCAACAAGTTATGAGTGACAACCTTGTAACAACTTGATAAAATAACAGCATTGTTTACAACTTGTCGACAAGCTTGCTACAAGCCTGTTGCGAACACATCTTGTTGATAAGCTGTGAGATTTTTATGTGTGTTGACGACAGCTTCTGAACAGACTTGTAACAACTTGTTTGCAGACTTGTGCGTTTTTACGTATACAGGGTGTATCAAAAAAGCGCAATCCTCGACTGAAATGTAAATTGCTAAACAAATAATACACGAAAACGTTAAAGCTTGCATTCATTTTAAAGCGTAGCCATTCAGCTTTCTAACAGTGGGTTGTTTCTTAAATTTGACTCATTGGTTCGCGGGTAATAATACTTTACCTTATTGCGATTGGAGATTAAAAAAATTGAGATGGAATAACAAATCGCTCTCATGAAAATAACTGATTTTTTCATTAAAACAAAAAAATGTTGCATTTTATTAAATGGATCGTAACAATAAGTATAATTACGGCTTTTCTTCCACTATTTTTAACTCAGTTTGAAACTTCAAATGCGATCTAATTTTGACTTGGACCATCTAAGCTGACTGACATCAACTTGCTATAATTTCTGTTTACATTACATCGCAATTCGATGACACTCTGGCTCGGACACCAGAATGTTTTGACGATTTTTAGCATTTGTTTAGGATTTTCAAACAACCCGGTCTCTTTTAAAATACTTTTAATTTGTTCTTACGTGGTTTTCCAGATGTAGTGACGACAGCATTAAAGTTTAAAGAAGAAAATTCTAACATTTAAACCGACTAAACATTAACATAGTAAACTTGCATAATTAAACAGCAACTAAAAATGATAGGTTTTACTAAATCTTTTCCTGTGCAATTATTACTAGCACTGGAGACAAGGATAATAGTTTGTTTGAAAGAGAAAAGAACAGGCTTTGAAGTAAGCCTAAAAGCGTTTAACTAGAAATAGTATTTCGAAAGTTATTAAGCACAAAAGATGAATTGCGTTTATTTTGATACACCCTGTATACCAAAAAAAAGTTGGATTGGAAAAATTCAACTTCCGAAATGTTGCACGCTTCTAAAGTAAGAAAATATTCCAGAAAAAGCGCGGACATTTTCTAGAAAACTTAGAAAGCCAAATGGATCAAATTTTCCAGCGAAGAATCAGCTCTAACTTACAGGCGGAACTCCAAGGTACTTCTCAGCAGTCTCGATCGCTTTCTTGGCATTGTTCACGGCGTCATTGGGATCCAAATCTTCGGGATCTACGTCAGGGAAGAGTCCTGGTTCTACCGCATCGACCAAAGCCGCAATGGCCCGGCCGTCGTTCCAATCCGTGGTGAAATTATTCATTGGGATTTCCGGCGGCATCTTGCTCTTCACCCACGCCAGCAAGGCTTGTTTGGGGGTCATTCCACGGTCTTTCTTCTTGGCCGCCTTGCCATCGTCGTCGTCGAATTCGTAGTCGCCCATGGGCATGGAGATTTGATATTTCAAGATCAACGTCCATATTAAACCCAGAATTAACTTGAGGTTTCCTTTCACGATGTCACCAGCATCTGTAAAGATAGAAACGTTGAAGTCAAAAATTTATCCCACTTCTAAGGCTGATTTCCACTGTCGCGTTTTTCCTACGCACGTACACGCACGTAAAACTTTGAATCCTTCTATTTTTTAAATATTTTACAAATAATTTAATAAATGCATACTAAAACTTGCGGAACACTAAATTCTGTTGCTTTATTTATTTGGTTATTTCATAAGTAACATTTAAACGGATTTAAAGTCTTACGTGCGTATACGTACGTATGAAAAACGCAAC